AACATATTATACAACAGCCATGGAGTCATCATCATAAACTGTATGGCTTTTTTTTAAACAGTGAGACTGTAAAACTGCAAGAAATAGGTACAACACCCTCAGTTTAAGTTGTGGCAACAGTATTTTACCTAACTGGCACCTTAATTTTCAGATACAATTTTAGAGGGATGCTGCTGTTTGCATAATCCATTCAAATATTCAATCACAAAAGCACTGTAATAAAACTATTTAATTATTATTTTAAGTACAATGCTTTGCCAAGGGTGTAACTCCACTACCTTCAGTGATATAATTATCCATATACATTGTGCGGCCAAGATTTAAGTTCTCATTATCCATATATCTATAATAGAATTGTGTAAAGAAAAAATAAAGGACTTTTGGGTTAAATCAAATTAAAATAAATCCAATTGAACCCCTGATATAAGTAGAAAGTTTGTAAAGGGACTGGAAAGTAAATGCACAAATGCTCTAGAACAAAGATAAAAATGTTTGCGTTGTGACTGTCAACTACTGAAGGCAAACTTCAACAATTACCTAACACTTAACTGCCTATATATATAAGCATCTGAATTTATTGTTCCCATACTTGTTGCTATTCAGAAAGTACCGACAGAGGGGAGAGCACCTGTGAAATAGGACAAAACTTTGAATCAACAGCACCTTACTTTTTAAGGTGGAAAGGAAGCAGCAAAATTACCCAATCTGATCTTGAAACAATTCTCTTCTTTAAACAACTCCATTAACAGAGGATTTGGGAAACAACATTAATTTTACAAACACATAATTGTTGCTGTAATAATCCATACTGAAATGCCATTCTGTGATCATGTTCACACAGGAAGATCAGCAGTACTGGAAAGGACAAAAGACAACGTCATAACGCAGTCAAACAATTAACACCTATCATGGAAAATATGCAGTAAGGAAGGAAACAATACATATTTTTGGTGTTTCAAACAACAGATCAATTAGAAAGGTATGTAATAGAACCACTTGTACCTGCAAATCCTGAAGCTGGTAATAGTCCACACTAGTAAATTAAACTAGTAATAAAGAACGGACTGTGCTCTCTGGCGCATTCATATTATTAAACCCTTTCAGTTTCCAAACTAGGGCGGCTGTATCCAAACCGCCCATGGAAAACAGCAGCTAAATCCTCCCTCGTGCTGCCGGATTGTCTGGGTGAGCATCAGCTGTCCTGGGCAAAACCGCTCCATGCTGTGCTCCAGCAAGGTAACAATATGGGGAAACGCATTCCCATGACTAGGAATACTTTTTGGCACTGTTTACCTCCCCGGCACCAAACCAGAAGTTTGATTATCCCTGTTTTTCACGCTGTGGCTCCTCCTGTGTACCAAGGCATATTTTCAGACTCATAACTGAGATTTGTGTGTTCATAGAGTTTTTCTTAAACATATGACTGTCAAGCTAAAGAAATGGCCGTGGCTTGCCATGAGCTTGGCACCAAAAACTGTGCTGAAGACATGGTTCTGTAGACCGGAGGGAATTAGATGTGGTGATACAGATGGCAGATCACAGAGAGGACACCGCTGTGTGAAACTGCACTTCCCACGTGCTTTAAAGGAAATTTCACTGCCAGTCTCTCCTCTACCACACTCTCTCCAAATCTCCCTGCTGCTGCCTCCTCTCTCTCCCAAACGCTCTCCCAGCCCTAGTAATCGGAAAATACAAACTAAAAAGCAAAGTAGAACTCACTGACAGCTAAAACTAAGGCCTTTGTTTATGTCTTGAGAAACTCTCAACTCCGTATTTTTAATAATCTTCTAAAAAAATCTCTATTTTATATCAATAATTCTTTGACTATCTTTTTCATCTTGTACTTTCAATTAGAAAGTGACACTGAACTGAGCTGGAAGCCCCAGTACCAAGCACATCCAAATTTCTTGCCCTCTCTGATCAGATGGAATCAGATGCCAGTTCATGGTCTAACATTTAATACTAACATTAACTGGAAGGAGAAAGAGGGCTTAAGAATAAGTGAGAGCGGCCTCTCTTAAAAAATAATTACATAAAAACCAGCACAAAGTCTGATCAAGTTTTAGTACAAAGGCTACGTTTAGATTTGCCACAGACCCAACAATAGTAGAAGACTTTAAACCTTGTGTAAAGGTTAACAACATCAGTTGCAGCAATTCTACAAAATGCAGATTCAGGAGTTGTCAGGAGTTCAAGTCTCTGCTGTTCCTTTTCAAAGTTCACCCTTCAAACAACACATTGAAGGTCATATAACCGCTTTTCAAACCAAAGCAATAGCCAAAAGAGTAGCAATGACTATTTTAATTTATTTCAGCCAGTAACATACCACTCAATCTTGAACAACCGAGACAGGTGATCATTTATTTTAAACCTTGTTGCATGACTGAATAATCCAGATGGGCACATGATCTAGGAAATTTTGGGCAACTTGAACTCATGCAGCAGTGTGTGAATGATGAAGAGCAGCTTTGCTACCTTCCTTGGAACCGTTTATATTTTCTTATGTTACTGACACCTTGTATTTTAACCCAAGTCTCAAAAAGTCCACTCCACAATTAAGAAACTTTGTCAGGTATGTCATTAATTCTTCCAGTATCTAAGCTAAAATTCGGAATAGAGTGCCTGAATTCTCTTAAGTGAGGATCCTTTTGCAAACGTCCTTAGATTGGGTATGGGCTAGGGTACTGCTTCACTCTATACAGAATTTTCTGTTGCTTTTTGCTTTTATGGGTGCTGGAGTCCAGATTATAGGTTCCTGCACCTTCCCCTACAATATAGTGGACTCTATTAACGAGAACAGCCTTTCAACTCTCTTGCACGCAATTTCAGAAAGTCAGCAAAAACTGAGCTGGGGGAGGGAGAAATCTAAAGACAGAGAAGTCTAAAGAGTCTACGTCCAAAAGCAGTGCAGACATAACTGGGATTATCAACATTGCAACATCTCAATTCTTGGTGCCCAACTCCCAACCTGCAACTTGCAACCCTCTCTTACACAGTACGGGACACGCTGGGTACTGTAGCTTAAAAAGAATTCAAACCAGCCTGCATACAGAAGGGGAAGTGAGTAAACTAGCCAATGCAAATGCTCAAAGAAAAGTGTAACTTCAATGGTGTCCTTTACCAGGACTTAGACCCCTAACTTCAGGTGATGTAAAGGCACTCAGGTCAGATCATTACTCACAAAATCTCCTAAGTTCCTTTTTGGAAAAATGAGAGTGAGGCTTTTTCCTGAAAATCCAGTAAAACCAGAAAGTAGCAGCAGTACCTCTTTCTTACCAGAATCCTACATAATAGGAATAGTTCAAAAGTTAGAGCCAGAGGCTGCTGAAAACGTGTCATGTGCAGAGTCACTGGGAGAGAGAAAAAAAAGATTTGACATGCTTAGGCCCCTAGATCTCCATTCTGCAAAGCAGTCCCCTAACAGCCTGATGTCCAGTTGTCACTGCCCTGCTCTGGGAAACAAGAGATGTGATTAGAACATCTTTAGGTTGAGAAAAGTACGTGCTTCTATAAAACAGGGAGAGGAACGGATTCTCTTCTTCCTCTGACGTGTTTATAAACCAAAGTACCCATGGCTGTTTGTTCGTTTTTGCAGACCTGAGTTTTTTTGAAGCATTTCCCACGCTGCATTGATAGAGAAATATTTAGGGATCCCATTCGGCCTCTTTATTCCTCAAATATCACATTAGCCCTTTTGGGGGCTCCTGTGCCTAAACAAACTCAGATTTTTGTTTTCCAGGAGCAATGCCCACCACAACAGCTGCTATGTTGGCTCAGGAGAAAAGACAGGAAATTAACTACCTTTTGATTAGTTAAAGGTGACCTATTCTACTTTAAAACTAAAACACATTGGCACAGCAACAGTGAAAAGGCAAACCCAGCTACTACCCATATTTTAATTGCTCTGGCAAAGAAAAGAACACAATGCATTCTGCAAAGATGTCAATCATGGCAGTATAATTAGTTCAAATGAGAAGCACTAACAGATTTTTAGGGGACAAAAGCATTTTTGTGTGATGGCAAAAGAGCACCTATCAGACTTACCGGGGTCATTAAGCAACGGTATTCCTCTATTTGCACTACCTTTGCTACCACAGTTTGAAAGAAGCAGCACAGCTGATGACTGGGGGAAGTATGATGCAATGTACTTACACCAAATGTTAACAAAGCCACTTGCCAAGTCTTCCTTCCCCAAAGCAGCTTCTACCAGTAAGTATCTATTTAAATCACACGGAAAAAAAAAAAAAAAATCTGTGTCCGCGCTATGATTTTTCCTACTGCAATCGTAAAAACAAATTGAACACTGGAGAAGGCAAATCATGGCAACACTACAAGATACTTTTTTTTTTTTTTTTTGCTTATAAATGTACGTCCCGCTTGTAGCCTAGCAACAAAAGCAGCAGTCTGTGGTAAATGGATAGAGCCTGCTGCTGGGGCTCTCTCCTCAAAACAGCAGCCATCTTTGGCGTGTAACTTGACGGGAGATTTCATCATTCTGCATTAAAGCTACATCCAGATGTTAGAGGTTGCCGCAGCCAGCTCAGCACTGTTGGCTTTCGATTTGCCACTTCTTCTGCCCTCATGTAAGGTTTATCGCAGAGACATGTCACACGTTCACCTCGTCTCTTCGTTAAGAAAAATAAAGCTTCTTTGCTAAAAAGGGTTAGTGCAAGCTCTTATTTTATTTCAGTCCTGACTGCTGCAAACTTGTCTCTGCTCCTTATTTATTAACCTCCCCCCAAACTGAAGTAGGATTATCTGGCTCTGCCCAGGCATGTTCATGGCCCTCTTCCATAGTTTTTCACTACTTCATGTATCTTTTTCTGATAGGATCCATACAGGTGATTTTTTAATTGTGCACTGGTACAAAGGCAGTCTTCACCTCCCCCCGCTCTCCCAATACCCCTTATAATCACAATAAATTATTTATAATTCATAAATTAAACAAATAACCAATACTCGTAATGAAAATCCCTGTTTCTGGCTACCAGGTGTCTGACCTCTGAGTTATTTGCTGTGGTCCTCCCCTGGAAAAGATGATCCCTCAGCAGGGAGGCTTGTTTCCTGCAGGCCGGGGATCCGTGCTGCTGCCACGTACCACCCTGCGACAGACAGCCCACGCTCAGGGACGGCTCATGGTCGGGGGGGATTTTGGGAGCGGGTGGGGAACCAGGGAGCTGGGATGTGCAGGGAGGAGGTGGGAGGGAAGGGCTGTGGCAGCCCCCAGCCAGCTGTCTGGCACTGCAAGTGTCTGGGCGGCACCTGCCCAGGAGAGGGGTGACCTGCTGGGACAGCGGCTCTGCTCCCACTGAGGGGATGGGGTGACATGGGGCTGGGACCCTGTGGAGGGGACAGAGGTGACACACGGGCCTGGGCCCTACAGAGGGGACAGGGCTGACAAGCGGATCAGGGCCTCTGCAGGGGTAACACAGGTGACAGACGGGTCTGGGCCCCTGTGGGGG